TTACTCTATTCGACATGTCAACTTCTCCTTTTCACCACCACTATTTTATACATAGAACACCGTTTTCGAGAAGCAGGTATGAGGTGCTTTTACTTTCATCTTTCGTAGAAATCAATTTATCCACAAGTTAATCACTCTCAAACACCCTCTAAATGCTCATCATCATTTGGGCATTATTATTCTCATTAGACATTATTAAGTTCTATTTAGAAAATTAAAAAATTTAAGTTCTACATTGGAAAATGACTTATGTTTTAGTCCTATTCAATGCAAATTTAACTTTTTTTAATTCATTACTAATTATTATTAAAATTCGATCTAGTTAGACTAGATTAGATCAAACCAGACCAAATCTAATCAAATGAGATCTAACCAGATCACACCAAATCAAATCAGATCTGATCAGACCAGAACCTATCAAATAAGATATTTTTATATTAAATTAAATAAATCCAAAAAAAGTAGGGGTGGACAAAACTACAGGTCCGACATTATTCTGAACAAGACCAACATTGTACCGAACTGAAAAGCGAGTTTTCAAATGGTTCTAGTAAATTATATTCCGAACCAAATCGAACCGTTTTCAAAACGATACGAGACATGTTTCTAAACAAAAATGCCGAAAATACCGAATCGTACCTTTACAACTAAAATACTAAATTTATAAATTAATTATACATTTTTATTTGTTTTTACGAAGTAAGTTTAGGTGAGGAGTATTTATTTGGTGTGACTTTCACATACTTAAACTTGTGTTTTAATTATACTTTACAACTCGAATTATAATGTTATTTTTTGAAATTGCAAATTATAATTAATTTTTTAAAAAAATTGTAACTAAGTAATACACATGTTAAGTAAGGAACTAAGAATACATAAAAATATTTATGCACCAATTTTTTTTAATTACGTCTGTTGTTAGTTATAAATAAAAGTGAAATCTGCACTGAATAGGACTAAAACATAAGTAATTTCTTAATGTAGGACTTAAACTTTTTTATTCCCTAAATAAGACTTAATAAAGACTAGTGAGAAGAATAATGTCCAAGAGATACTGGACGTACATTTAGTTAAATAATGGCTAATAGAAAATGACCGAAGGTTCTACATTGAGAAATAAAAACATATGGTCCTATATTGAGAAAGTCAATATGTTTCAGTCCTATTTAGGTAAATTACTCTAAATAAAAATATTTTCAAAATGTCATAGTATTATGGAATGATTTGGGATTAGTATGACATGGTCTGTATGGTACGGATCCTATAAAAATACCGAACTGTCACGGACCGTGTCCACTCCTAAGAATAAATTTGTAAAACATTCGAATATTTCATCTATTATTGCTCCCTCCGTGTAACTTTTGATTGCACTTTACAATGTTTAATTGAAATAGTATTTAAGTACTTGGTGCCTTATCTGTGCTATACTGTGTTCTCTTCCAAATTTTTGTGCAGGTGGAGCCGGGGGTCTGCGTACACACACCCTCCCCAGACCCTACTGTTGTGGGATTCAACTGGGTTGTTGTTATTATTGTTGTAATTGAAATAGTATTTAATTTATTAGAAAATAGTGTGGAACTAAAACAATACTATATAAAATGTTTTATAAACTAGAAGTGACATGACTAAATTTTTTATCCAATAAGTAATGAAACGAAGCTTACAACACTAAAATTTGACTCAATTAATAGTGAACAAGAAGATAATTTCAAGACACAAGGAATACATAATAATTATTATACATTTAATATATCTTACATCATTTAATGTTGCATTTAATTTATTAATAATTAATATGGAGTATTATAATGTACAAAACTAATTAATGAAAATACATATGTTAAATACATATATAAAAACTACTTTAAAAGTTTTACAAAATAAGTAGGGACCTATCTATTTTATTTTACTAATACGGCAATTGCTTATGTGATCCTTAGCTCCATACTCATTTTATTGATCTTAGTACACAATAAAAGAAGAAAAATAAGAAGAAGAAGAAGAAGAAGAAGAAGAGCAACAAAAACAACAATAATAACAAGAACAAGAACAAGAATAATAACAATAATAATAATAAACTTATTATAATAATATTTACTTTTAATTACATCATATACAATTCATTCAAATGAGACCATATATAATCTGATCAGATCCAATCAGGTCAAATCAGAGTATCAGACTCGATCATATCAAATCAAATAAGATTAAACCAGATCAAATCCAACTAGATCAGATTAGAGTAAATCAAATCCAATTAAATCAGAACAAGTTAGATCTTTAAAAAATAAATGAGATCAACTTAGATAAGTGGAATGGAGCGGAGCCTTATATTGTGTTTGGAATCAGCGTTATAGGTCAGGGTTAGTGTTTTGAAAAAGTATGTGACAGTAGATTTTAGTGTAACATTTTCAAAATTAATATACACCATTAAAATTTAATCTCAATCGCTAATGTTAATTGAAAATATTAATCTCAAATACAATTTTAGTTTGTAGCCTTACCCCTTTACACGCGCTTTTGGTAAAAAAGTTAGACAAGTTAGAGCCTGTTCTTTTAGGACTGGAAAACAAAGAATTGAATGTTGAAAGAAACTGGAAGAAACTAGAAAAAATTAAAAGAAACCTTAAAAACTTGAAAAAAATTAGAAAATCTAAAAAAAAATTTAAATTTTTTGTGTGTATTATTCTTGTCTTTATAAATTATTATTATTATTATTATTATTATTAATTGGCTTTAAGATAAAATAATAATTTTATTTTTCATACACAAAAAAAAATTATAAAAAAATTAATTGGAATATAAAATTAGTATAAATTAAATATCAACAACAAACAACAACAATAGCATCCCAGTTGAATCCCACTACAGTAGGATCTAGGGAGGGTGTGTGTAAGCTGACCTTGCCCCTACTCGGAAGTAAGGAGGCTGTTTCCAAGAGACCCCCGGCTCTACCTGCACAAAAATATGGAAGGGAACACAGAATAGCACAGGTAAAACACCAAGTACAAGCAACAAGTACAAGTAATAAATATCAAAAGGTTTAATATTAAAAAGTTATTTTGGCTACAAGCAATAAATATCAAAATGTTTAATTGCTAATGAATTAAAAAAATACACTTTTATACTCGGGTATTTAAATACTACTCCTATATCTAAAAGTTTACAAAAGAAGAAGTGAAAACACTATATTATTGTTTTTCAAATAGGCCAAAAACGCAGTTGAAGTTTGACCATATAAATAGTAAATACTCTCTCAGTCCCACTTGAATCTTTACATACGCTCTTCACAAGGTCAAACTTTATACACTTTTTTTTCTTGTTTTCGTTTTTTATTTGATAAAATAAAATATTTATTTTAAGTAGAATTTTGTAGATCTTTTGATGTAGTTTTTTTTATATAATTTTCACTTTTAAATTTTACATCTACATTTACATAAATTGAATTGAAAATAAAATTGGTCAAATATCGTAATGCGAACCGGAAAGATTCAAATGGGACATTAGGAAAGGACTATTATTCACTTTGTTTATTGAGTATGTTTCCAAAATGGTCCTTTTTAATAAGACATTTTTCCAAATTAATCTTCAATAAGTAATAATTACCAATATAGTCCTTTGTAATTGAGATATATTCCCTAAATAGTCTTCTGTAAAAAATGCATATTAAATAATAGTTAAATGGATGGTATTTTTATATTTTCCATCATCTAAACTATGAAAAAATCTTCAAAATGACCCCTTCAAATTAAGTGGGTGGCTTCTTGAAGAGAGAGGCGGGTCCAGGATTTTACATCCATGGGGTCCTGTACATCCCATTCTTATCTCAAACTACTTCATAAGTTTTAACATTTAACAATAAACTAAAACTAATATTTGAAAAATACCATAATTAATACATAGAAATTTATTTTTTATTCATTACTTATTCATTAAAGAATCAAATTTTTTTCTTTAATAAAAAATTGATTTAGAATTACAAGTGATAAGTATTATTGTATTAATGTTCATTTTATGGTAGTTTGAAGTTTGATATATGATTAGTAATATATAAATATATAATAATTTATAAATTTATTTTTTATTCATTACTTATTCATTAAAGAATCAAATTTTTTTCTTCAATAAAAAATTGATTTAGAATTGCAAGTGATAAGTATTATTGTATTAATTTTCATTTTTTGTCTAATTTATGTAATTAATATTAATTTTTTATTTACAAAATTTAAAATATAAAGGTACTTCAAAAAGCTACCCAAATTCAAAGTTTCAGACTCGAGTGGAAATGTGGAATTGGTAACAGTGTTAGTGCTATGGTGTCTCAAGTAAATGTTTCATCTATAGTTATTCAAGAAGGTACTCAATCCACTCCATCTTGTTCAAGAAGGCACTCAACCTTCACATGTTCAAGTTGACCCTGAATTTTATGTTTTTGGAGATGTCTTATCCACTATTAGTGATGATGTAATTATAGATCACTTTTAAAGTATGAAAGCTAGACGAGTACAATTGTACATGATATTATTTTCGTATGACTTTATTTCTATGTATTAATTATGGTATTTTTCAAATATTAGTTTTAGTTTATTGTTAAATGTTAAAACTTATGAAATAGTTTGAGATAAGAATGGGATGTACAGGACCCCATGGATGTAAAATCCTAGACCCGCCTCTGGTTCAACTGCAATTAGAAAAGTCAGTTATGGTTGCCATCAATGAAGTTGTAATATTACATTTTGCACTATTTAATTTTGTGAAATTTGCACTAATAGTACGGAGTATTATATAAGTGCATTCCTCTTTAACTATACAAGGGACAGTCTTTCGACTCTTTTCTCTCTATCAAAAAACTGTAAATTTTTTTTATGGAAATCCATATAAAGAAAATGTGAAGTTCTTTGTACGCCTTTCAAAAAAAATCTTTTTTTTCAGACGATATGTATGTCTGTATAAGGTGGAGAATAGAATAAAATTGTTAAGGGATATATAGACAAGAACACCGCAACAAGTTCAGGTTAACTGGCCTTGAGCCTTTTCCGGTTTTACATCCCTAACACTTACAGGTGGTCTCTACAGCCTTACACTATCAAGTTTGTGTTCAGATTTTCCTCAAAAAAAAAAAAGATTGAGTTCAGATCTGTTCAACTACTTGCGACCACACCTGTACAGATTATGCCGCATGGGTAACTTTCATGGTGCATGTTGTTCAGAAGCTCCATCGATCTAATTGGGTCTTGGCTTCCGCCATGTCTTTCTGTGCCTTCTTCCTCCGATAGAAGATCGGGCAATCTCGACTGCAGTGAAAAATTTACCATTTAGAGTCAAAGTCTTCTAACAATTGAGATTTAAAAGTGGGAAGATCTTTCAAACTAAGCTATAATACCCGAAACCGACGACAAGTACTGAAAATAAACTTTATGACTCCAGTTCATCCAAAATAATAACGATAACTAAGACTTCGAAAAAACAAACCTAGTGCACAGCACATCCTGGTGAAGGGAGCCTTGACACTCTTGGCACTGCGTCCACAACCGCCCGAAAAGCTTCTCCAGTTCAGCAACTACAAATGGTTTAATTAATAAAAAGTAAAATAACCGTTAACAGCATTTCTGTCCATCTAGCGGTTCAGATGGAGAAAAACATACAAACTGAATAATTCTTCCATACCATTTGCAACTGATTTACAATAAAGTTCAGCTTCCCTTCCCTTGCAGTGTTTGCAGAGAGTTCTATCAGATTCACTGGTTGAATTCACAAGAACAATTAGTAAACTCAAGCTTTTATTTTATGTTAAGAAAAAAGGCCTATAGAATGTGGGAATGGATGGTATGAACATAAAAGTTAATCCAAACAAAAAAATTAAAGATCACCCATCCATGTGATCCAGCCAGATTGAAGAACACAAATGGTCCTTGTCAAAGTACATGAGAGTACCTAATTAGTGCTTTGCATCCAAGGCAAGTTAACTGTTTTTCGGCATATTTCATTATCCAACTGTTGGAAGGAGTCGAAATGGAGAGTGATCGAGTATGGCTTCCTTGCAGAAGTTCTTTACTGGCATTCTTCAAGATGGGCTCAAATATCCTTAGAAGTGGCTGCACAAAGACCACAGCCATCACATTAGTTTAGATTTGAGCATAAACTATGAAGTAAAATTTCTTGAGTGGCATACTAACCTTGCTAATTTGATTCTCAAGATAGTAATGTGGATCTATTGGAATGTTGTTCTCTAAGACATATATAGGATCCTCTGACTTTTCATAAGCCTGTATGTTACAAATGAAGCTTGATTATAGCCAATGCTAGGGAAATGTTAAACTTTTGAAATATTGTACTAGATTACTTGAAACATTACCTTAGCACCTTTAGCACCCTTGATAATGACGTAAGGTACTCTATCACCCACTGTTGGAGCAGTAGCAGCATCTCGCTGTTAACCAAAATTCTTGACCATTATCAAATTCACAGAGCAAAGTACACATGCTATATGGAAGCGGTACCAAAAAAAAGACTGATGTATACACTTAACAAAATACCAGACTTCTCTATCAAATATAGATTATTGTGGTTCATGCACAACAAGGTTTTAAAAGGCGAAAACTAGCCTCAAGGCGGGGAAGCAAAATGCCTTGAGGCGTAAGCCTCGAGGCGGAACAAAGCATAAGCCTGAGTTCGGTTTGAAAAAATAACACTTAAATAAGTACTCTGAGATAAAACAAAATGCATAATCCATTGTCAAGTCAAAAAAGTGATAACCATATATGAAATATGATGAACTCTATTAATAATTTAATATATTATAAATTGATTAAAAGATCAATTTATAAACTGCCCAAAAAATTCAGGCTTGAAAGACTGGTGTAAAAAAAACTTTTTAAAAAATACTGAAATTTGCAAATTAGAAATGATAAAATAAAAAAGAAATGATAGAATAAATTAGTTTTTTTTGAAATGATGATAGAATAAAATTAAACAGATATTTTTAAGGAAAAATTAAACAGGTAAAAGAAAACAAAATATGGAACAAATTTTATTTTCAAACAAAATCCAGAACAAATTGTTGACCAAACTTTTTTTAGTTGCACAAAGAATAATAAAAAAACAAAATTTTGAAGTGTAATTAAAGCTAAAGAGAAATGAAAAAACAAAACCAAATGGGCCTATCCCCTAATTCCCTAGCCCTAAACAAAGAACAAACCAAATATGGGTCGGGCACAAATCCGGAAGTGTAAAGAATGATAAAACAACTCCGTAATAGACTGGCCGCATCTTACGGGACACACTTCCATCTTGCTGTGTCGGCCCATCTTCACTCTGGAGGGGAGGCAGACCTTCCATATAGCAGTCGGATCGACTTCTGATATAGGTTAGGGTTTTTGGATCTGTATTACGCCTCGATTTCGCCTTACGCCTTGGACCGCCTCAACATCTTAGGGCGTACGCATCAAGTGTCCCTGCTGAGGCGTAAGCCTCTGAGGCTAAATGTTACCGCCTTACAGCCTCAGCGCCTCGAGGCGGACCGCCTTTTTCGCCTTTTAAAACCATGATGCACATGCATTACTAGTTGCTACAGTAGTGATTGCTCTCGTATGTGTGTCTTCTTGTGTATTAGACTCATCTTTGTATGTGTGTCTTCTTGTGTATTAGACTCATCTTTCCATGCCGGTGGTTTAGGGATGTGGAAAATAAAGGATATGAGAGGTGAAATAAATATTATCTTCATGCATTCTTAAATTGATTGCTAGTAGTATATATAAACACATGTGACTCTTCTTTTCCTGATGTGGACCCCGGTGTGAACTAAGACTCCTGAGCTTCTTGATATACCAAGAATATTCGGTCATGCACCAGATTCCTAAGCTTTTTGATATGACTGGAACATTCTATGTCTAATTACTCAACACTCAAGTTGGAGAGTGCACCTCATAAGTCCCCCCCCACCCCACCCAGACACGCACACACAGATATTTCTTGGTCCTCTAAGAGATTTGATGGGTATATCAGGTAGCTGGTCATTTGTTCCATCGAAAAAGGTGATGATCCCTCATGTAATATTTTCTCAAATAAAATACAGAGTAGCAACCAACTTTGATATATTTCGACCTTCCATGAAAAACGAGTTTGCATGCAATACGCAATGATGCTTGATCATCGCATATTAGCTTCATAGATCCAAAATTGAAATTCATCTCAGTAAGATGATGTTTCAACCAAAATGACACGCATGCTCCAAGAGCCATCAAATTATATTTGATCTCTGCACTTGACCAGGAAACTAGACCTTGCTTTTTGCACTTCAAAGATACCCAGTACTAGATTACATCCAACAAGGACACAACATCCTGACTGTCCCAAACGTATCTTTCCCAGACAGCAACAGTATATCCTACAATTTTGGCAAAGCAATGATTTCTATACAGCTACAATGTCCTCGGGATTTCTTTAAATATCTCAGGATTTTGACGACTGACACAATGGCCTTTGCATGTTAAGAATTAACTTACCACACTACAAATGAGAAAATGAGTCGAGTAATCATCAAGTACAATAGTTCTCCTAGTCTCTAGCAATGTTCAAAATTGCGTATTGCAGTTTTAAGGCGTAAGCCTCAATTTTAAGGTTTAAAAATATGAATATAACATATTTAAATATGAATATAGAACATTATTAGTAACATGATTAACCTATACACATTAAAAAACATTGGCAATTAAAAGATCTCAAACATAACAAAAGTTGCACGAATCAATACAAACAGTTTGTTACTACGATGAACTTAAATCAAGAAATGCAAAAAAGTTCATCGGTGCCTAATGACTTAAAATTAGGGTCTGACATATTTCCATGCCAGGTCTGACATTTAAATAATCTGTCAAGAAACCTAAAAAAACATATTGTTGAATACTTATATTTATAAAATGTAAAAGTTTTGAAGTCAAAATTAATGAAAAAAATCATGTACACAACTGAAAAAACAGATTATTTACAAACAAATCTGAGAAATAACAAATTACAAGCGTTCTAAAAAAGAAGAATTTACAGAAAAACGATTGCAGGAAAAAAACAAACTTACGGGAAATCCACTTACATGCACACTAAAAAAAGGAAATTACAAGCGCACTAAAGAAAGAAACTTACATATTTCAAAAAAACAAAAAAAGGAACTTGAAGGTAAATTACTTATTTAAATAAAATCACATAGGAGTATCCCTTCATCATACTTAAATAACGGATTCTAGATAACTGGAACTAAAAGGTGAATAGAACAGGCCTAAATGAGTGCTGCTTTAACTGGAGTATCCCTTCATCATACTTTCTTGTTATACTAATATCATCAACGAACACAATGTAAATGCTTTTACCATAAAAATATCTGAATAACACCGAGTAATTAACTTACCATCCCAAACTTTTGTACTACGAACTAAATCACCCAAACCAGGCATATTGTCATACTAAGTCCATAAAAAGAGCGCTTCAGATTACAAAAATATTCCTCCCTCCTTGTGCAACTAACCCAAAGGGTTGCTCCATATAAACTTCATCCTTAAATTCCCATGCATCAAACCATTCATTATGTCTAATTGTTAAAGGGGGCAATCTTACATAGCAGCCATAGTTAAGAATACTCGAACCAAGACCCACCCCCGACAAAAAGTATTATTAATCAATACCGAGAGCATGTATGTATACCTTGGGCAATTAGGTGAGCCTTGGGCCAATTTACTTAACCATTTGATTCCATTTCAACATTACAAACCCCATACACCCAACCACTGTCCTATCGGGTGGTGAGGAACCAATTCCTAAGTTCCTGGGGAATGGAGTTATCAGTTCATGAATCATCATGCTTGGATGCCAAAATAGATGGAAAATTTAAAATGACCAGAGAATAAGATGGTGATCAGAGAGGCAATGGTAATTTACAAAATGTAGATTATGAGCGGACGTGTCACCTATCTTACTTTCAACAGGAGACTTTGAGAGTGAGGTGGTGACCGTTTCTGGTGAGGGTGGCATCTTGGAAGATGAATCATAAGATTTGTTGGCATTTGGTTGATCAGTTGATTGCTGCCTAAGTCAACAATGATAGGTCTCAGGGAATGATGAAACAGTGTGAGGTTGTGATAGGTTAGTAACTTAGTATCTTTCTCTGGGGA